GGGAAAAGAGGTTAGTGCCTCTGACTAAATAGTGCAGTACTGCATTATCTTAAAAATTTTTGTGGCACACTGCTTGAAAATTGTTGCATTAGATCTTAATGAGTTATGTACTATATTCAAGGTATCCTGAAAGAATGGGAATTCCACAATCATAGGAGGTAACAGTAGAGTTCTAACTATTTGAACAGTGTGTTGCAATGTACTGAGATCTACCTATTCCTAATTACGTGGATCTGCAGAATCTATCCAATTTAATGGTAACTTGAAGAAAGTAGTCATTGAAGATAATATTACAAATGCAAAGTATAAAGAGAATATTAATAACAGCAGAGAAATTAAAAAAAATAATTTGACAAGAACTGTATAAAAAAATTCTAAAGACCATTCAAAATATGGCATTATATGAACCTTACTTTAAGTGTATATTTAGCTTTGAGATATTATCTAATGATAGTAGTACATGTGTAAATATTATAAACAAACACTTGGAAGTGTATTTGAAATTTTTCCTACTAAAAAGATGCACAATCAAAAAATTTAAAGACTAATGGAATAAGACAACTCAATTCTGGCCTTTAAAAAAAATCCCTTGGTAAGGTTTCTTTTTGTTAAATGAAATGTTGTATTTAACAACTGATGGTGGTGGTAGTGGGAGGGAAGTGGTGTGTGCAGAAAAAGGAAATTACCACTGCATTTTACATGATAAAGACACCAATAAAAAGTATGGTTGAGATTCTGTATTTGCAAATAAGGGTACTTGCTGAAATTCATCTGTAATTTCAAAATAAATATTCAGAGGCACTTTCCTCAGTCTCTCAAAGAGCAGGGAAAAATTTGAGTTGCCCAATGCACATTCCCAGCCGAGGGAAAACAAGGAGATTCTTTTACATTGTTTCAGCTCTCATACTGCAAGTGTCCTTTTGGCAGTATATGTAGTTCCATGTTATTTGCTTTTTGCTAGTGACTTTGCTGTTCAAACTGGCTCCCAGGTGTAGTACTGAAGTGCTATCTAGTGTTTCCAAAAACAAGAAGGCTGTGATGTGCCTAAAGGAGAAAATATGTGTATTATATAAACTTCATTCAGACATGAGTGACAGTGCTGTTGGCCATGTGTTCAATGTTAATCAAACAATATATATTAAATAAGGTGTCATTAACACATTTTGTACCGCTCAGGAGTTTTCTCGTGTTTCGCGCGCTATCTGTTAAGGACTGCTCACAAGTATTCTCGTTTTTCACTCCCATGGAAAAAGGAGCGAATCTAGATACTTATGTAAATTTTGTTTGGTCCCTCTTCATAGAGGAAAATGTTTTACGCAGTACCATACGTTAAAAAACTACTAGGAACTTTAATTGTTTAATTGTTTTTGTAAATAAAAATGTTATAATTATTGAAAAACAACACCTAAAGTGCATTATGATGATTTAAATAACGTGCAGTTTGCCCAAAAACGTGCGGTCCCTGGCGTATGTCTTAGAGATTTCTATGCGGTACGCAATGTGTTAACAAAAACAAAATTTTTTAAAAGTTATATAATGCTAGAGGCCCAATGCACAAAATTTGTGCAAGAGTAGGCCTTCACAGCTGCCTCAGCCCTCACAGTCCCTCGCAGCCGCAGCTGCCTCTCAGCCCTGACCCCTGCCCACTGGTCATTCTGGAAGGTCGTTCTGCAGTCTGGTCTAATTAGCATATTAGCTCTTTATTATATAGGATTGGTTGATTAAAATGTGACCAGAGGCTTGCAGAAACCTAGCTTTGTATTTCACCTGGGAGCTATGATTCAGTATTCACTAACTTAGTGTTTGTGGTGACTTTATAGAACACAACTACTGAAAATAACCAGAATTAACTTACGTCCCTGGTTTTTTTATATTAATACTAGAGGCACGAAATTTGTGCACTGGGGGAGGGGTTGTCCCTCAGCCCAGCCTGCACCCTCTCCAATCTGGGATCCCTCTCACAATCCAGGACTGCTGGCTCCCAACCGCTCGCCTGCCTGCCTGCCTGATTGCCCCTAACCGCTTCTGCTTGCCGGCCTGCCCGCCCCCCCAACCACTCCCCTGCTAGTCTGATCAACGCCTAACTGCTCCCATGCCAGCCTGATCGCCCCCAACTGCCCTCCCTCCCCTGCAGGCCTGGTAGCCCCCAACTGCCCTCCCCTGCAGTCCTGGTCGCCCCCAACTGCCCTCCCCTGCCGGCCTGGTCCCCCCCAACTGCCCTCCCTCCCCTGCAGGCCTGGTAGTCCCCAACTGCCCTCCCCTGCAGGTCTGATCGCTCACAGCTGCCCTCCCCTGCCGGCCATCTTGTGCAAGGGTGTGATGGTCAATTTGCATATTCCTCTTTATTATATAGGATGAGATTCGTTTGCCTTATACTCTGTTCCAACATTTAAAGTTAGACCACTACATTACACTTACTAGTTTCTGAATTTTAAGTGCATTGTAATTGAGTTATTTATTTTCAGTCCTTTTATATAAAAGGGGGAATATTGGTTGTATTAAAATTACACATTACAAAAAGTTTGCTTCAAATATGTTCAACTATACTTTTGTTTCAGCTCAAAGAGGCTCTCATAAAGTCACTAATATTGTTTGCATGAGCTGTGACATAAATACATAATAATGTATATTGTACAGCTGACCCTTGAACATTTGTGGGGGTTGAGGTGCCAATTCCCCAAAAACTTTACTAATATCTTACTGTGACCAGAAGCCTTACTGATAACATAAACAGTATTTTGTATGTTATATGTATTACATAGTGTATTCTTAAGCTAGAGAAAAGAAAATGTTAAGAAAATCAAAACTGGGCCCATGCAGTTCAAACCCATGTTGTTCAAAGGTCACTGCATTACCAATATAATCAGTTTCTCTGCTTTACTGCCATGTAACACTGATTATTACTTGGAGCCAAACATCACGAACCTCAATGAATTAGGTAGCTCCTTTTAAAGACAAGACTATAACCCTCTAACTAGAAAAGCAAAGTCGCCCATCTTGTAAAAGGCTCCTTTGGAATGAAATCTGCCCTGATAGCAGCTCCTACAGAAGGAGTAGCCCTATGGTGAGTCAGTCTACTATAGTGACTTTCAATGTAGAAAGATCTGGAGGTAACCCCAATTATGAGGCCAACCCATACATGGAGTGGGGCCATAGGATTTTATGGCAGATCAAAGTTGAGACTAGAAGCTATCAGAGAAAAACAGAAGAAAATTATAAGCCACTTGGTAGCCAAACAAAAAGTTCACACTGATATCTAAAAACATAAATGCCAGTGAGAACTGTATTCCTGCTGCACAAGAGCCTTCTATAGTTTTTGACTTTTTTTTTTTTTTTTTAACTATCTTGGTCTTCCTGTTATAGCTATGTTCTGGTGAGATTCTTTCTAAATCCCATCAACCACTATTCCTCATCCCCATTTGAAGTGGCTTATCCCAAACAGAGGTTGGAAAATTGTGTTAGAGAATGTAAGAGTCAAGCATTCCAGAATGGGGGTGGGGGAGCTGCTAGACAAACGAAGGTCCTTTCCAACCCCAAAGGTCATGATTCCAAGCTGTGATCCTACTTATGTTTTCTTCAAGGTAACACAAATCCACATAAATTTACCATCACCAACTAGTAGCTCCTTTTATAGACCTAAGATGGTCCTTTAAATGGGTATGCCCTAGTTCCAATACTCTTACGTTTTCCTGAACATCCTCACTTTATGACTTTACAGATTTCTTAAGCCTTAGTTCCAAAATGTAGCGTCTTCATATTTTTTAGTATTTTATACCAAGCCCTCTAGCACTGCTAACCCAGTGGAATATTTTATAGTACATATACTGTATGGCAATTTTTTTCTTTTAAAATATATTTTTATTGATTTCAGAGAGGAAGGGAGAGGGAGAGAGAGAGAAACATCCATGGTAAGAGAATCATTGACTGACTGCCTCCTGCACGCCCCACACTGGGGTGGAGCCCACATGTGCCCTGACTAGGAATCCAACCCTGACCTCCCGGTTCATGGGTCGATGCTCAACCACTGAGCCACCCCAACCAGGCTGGAAATTTGTTTTTTTCCATTGAGCATTGCTCCTTGGGTATCTTTCTCCGTACATAAACATCTCTCTCACTCTCTTTAAAAGGCTGGTATGTTGTTCCATTATACAAATGTACCATAATAATTAATGGACTGTGGGTTGCTTCCAATTATTTATTATTACACACAATGCTATGGGTCAACATCTTTTTACACGTGTACCTGTGAGTATGCAAGAGTCGCTACATTATTACTGGGTTATTTTGAATTGCTGCTTTCTGAACTGTCGGAGTTTAGGTATGTCTTGAAAGAAGAACGAAGGCTAGAAAGCACTCAAACTCCCCCTGCAGATGCAAATATACTTAGCAATAAGTAGCTTTCCATTAACTATGAATAAAAGACTTGGACATTTTTCGTTCCTCTGAGGTGCAGAGACAATGACAAACCAGGACCGGAGACTTGGCGCATAGCACGATGCTTCTGACAAGGTTCACGTAAGATTGAGAAGGACGCTTAAAAAATGGAAGAAACTGTCTCTTTTTTGGAAACTAGAGTTCCCAGGCCAAGGGTTCCCACGCCAGGAAAATACTTTAATTACTGACGAGTTTCAGAAACCTCGGATGAGAGATGGAGAAATAACAAACGTTTAACAGGTGAAGCTTTGAAACTTCAGTGTGATTCTTTAATGTCCCAATATCCGAAAGTTCAAAGGTTATGATGGGTGCTTTAAAAATATATATGCGTATATACTTAAAAAAAAAGATAAACACGCCATAGCTCCTGCCTTCTTTAGACTCACCCCACTCTCCGGCCGGCCGGCCAGAGGAGACCCGAGCGGCGCCCGAGCAGCATCCTCGCCGCCGCCCGTCCGCCCGTCCGCCCGTCCGCCCGCCGCCCGCCGCCCGCGCTCGGAGCCGGGGCCGGGGCCGGGCCGGGTCGGTAACCGCCGGGCGACGAGCGGCCGTCCCTGGGGACTCACCTCAGTTCTTCTTCGACACTCTTGCTGGGCTGCTGCTCGGCCGAGGCTACCACAGAGGAAGTCGTAGAGGTCTTGTTCTTTCAGGATCCCCTTAATGGGCCGGTGCGAAGCCGTCGAGGCCGCCATTGCCCGCCCCTCCGGCGGTCGGTTCAGGGTCGCTGCTGGGCGTCGGGTCCAGGAAGGAAAGGGAGAGGCGCGAGCCGAGACTCGCCGGGCAGCCGCCGAGCCCGCCCGGGCTGAAGCGGCCGCACCCTGTGTCGCGGAGGCGGCCGCCGGCGTCGTTCCCACGACACAACGACCCCGACGCTTTGGCGTCTAGCCGACGCCGCGCGGCTGGCGGTTCTTCGCGCGCCCCTGGCCACCGACACGGCACCGCGGCCCGCGGACGCGGAGAGAAGCCGGCCTACCGCTCCAGCGCGGGAGCGACGCCGACGCCGAAGCCAAGCGGGCCCGCCCTCTCGCGATATCTAGGGGGGGCGGGGCGTGGGCAGAGCGGGGGCGGGGCTAGAACAAAGCCAACCTGCTCGCCCCGCCCTCCCCTGGCTCTCTCCGTGGGCTTGCCGGTACCACGGGCGCGGGAGCCCAGGGGCCGCTGCAGAGAACCTACGGAGGTTGCTGGCTTGCCTCCGCGCAGAGCTGTACATCTCTCTGAGCACCCTCATCCCCACCACCGTATGAAGGCCATATTGTTATTTCTGTAACTTATAGGTGGGAAAACTGAAGCTCAAAGGTGACATCATTCCTCAAAGATCCTGGGTGACTTTCAGAGAAATCAGTCTCCTCTTTCCTAACACTGAACTGGCATAAGAAGTTGGACACTAGGATAAAATCGTGGAATGTCAGCATTGAAATGACCCTTAGAGACCTATTGTGAAGTCATAGAATATTGACATTTATGAAATCATAGAGCATCAGCATTGAAATAGTCTAATTTATTTTTAGAAATAAATTTTGGAGAACTTGAGGGACACAGAGGGGAAATGACCTGACCACCCTGTCACACCGCCCATCCATAGTGCGTGGTCATAGAACTTCAGATTTGTAGTCTGGCGTTTGCACATTTTACCGCATTCTCCTCCTGTGTTGGTAATTCCAAGGAAGGTATTACTGGCAAAAGTTCCTATAATGGTGGTTTATAATGTCTTCCCCCCAAAATCTAGGGAATTCACTTAAGGTAACTATGTGAATTAAGGTAAACTGGGTAAAACAGGCCAGAAGCCTTGGAAGCTATCTAGGTCTTTGTGAAAGTCTCTAAAAAGAAAAACAAAAAACAAAACCCTCATACACTCCAAGTTTTTCTGTGTCTGGGTGTAGATAAAAGATCCCAAGGAGGACTTTGATAAGAGCGAAGGAAAGCTCAAGGCTCTAGGGCAGGGGTGGGGAACTTTTTTTTTCCCCCAAGGGCCATTTGGATATTTATAACATCATTTATGGGCCATACAAAATTTCAACTTAAAAATTAGCCTGCTATCTTTGTTCAAACGTTTAATCAACTCACCCCTAATGCCTTGGCAGGGCCAGACCAAATGATTTCAAGGGCCTTACATAACCCGTGGGCCAGATGTTCCCCACCCCTGCTCTAGGGTGTGAGGAGATGTGGGTGTCCAGGTTGGGAGTGGTGTGGATGTCATGAGGGGAAGCAGTTCTATGGAGAATAGGGAAGGGCAGAATTTCAAAGCCCTGGGAACAATCTCAGAACTATGTTGTACCTGAAATTAAGCTCGGGCCAGCAGAGGGAGTGGTGTCCACTCTAGCCACCCAGCCTCTCTTCATGCAGTGTCAGTACTGGAATGGATAGTTGGGAAAAGAGGAGGTCTCAGCCATTAATCAAGTTGCTTCCTATTATATGTTGAATTATGTGTCCCCCTAAAATTAAGCTATATTGAAGTCCTAACACCCAATATTTTAGAATATAACCTCATTTGGAAACAGGGTAGTTGCAAATCAAATTAGTTAAATTAATATGTCATACTGGAGTAGGGTAGGCCTCTAATCCAATATGACTAGCGTTCCTATAAGATGGACATGTGGAGACAGATGAGGAGGACTCCATGTGATAACAGGTTCTCAGTGATGCATCTATAAGCTAAGGAACACCTGGGCTACCAAAGGCTGAGAGATGCATGAAACAGATTCTCCTTTAGGACTTTTCCTTTTGAGAGTCAACTTTGTTGATACCTTAAGTTTGGACTGTGAGACATTAAATTTCTGTTGTTTAAAGCCACCCAGTTTGTTGTATTTTGTTATGACAGCCCTATACACCTCCTCCCCTTCTACTACTACCTCTAGTCCCCACTGCCTCATCACCAGGTTTTTTCTCACCACTCTTTCCTGATCAGGCCTCTTCATCACCCTTATGACAGTCCAGAGCAGCCTAGTCCACCCAGAAGGAGCCCCTCAGCAGACCCACCCCCTGTGAATTCACAAACTACTTGGTCTGGAAAGGACCTTGTCCATCCCACCAGATAGCTATCCAATCCCTTCTCCAACAACCCCAGTGGCCAGGAGCTCACCACCCTACAACACAGCTCATTTTGTCTTTGGACACCTCTGACCAAGAAAGCTTTTCCTCAGATTGAACTGACACCTGGTTCCCAGCAATGTCTGGCCACTGGTACAAGGGGAGGGAGGAGAGAATGGGGATGGGGAAGGGCTATCTCTATTTTACCCCACTGGCAGTGTTCTCACTCAGGTCTCCTATTTCCAGGCCCCAAGTCTCATCTCCCTTAACTCAGTATCTGTGCCTGAAGGAGCAACATTTAGTTCATCCTCCTTAGGACTCTGCTCCTCAGGAACGACTTCAGGGTTCATGAAAATAATTCTGTTTTCATTGTCTGGCCCCCGGCCTTAGCTGCATTTCTGGGCTCGGTAAAGGAATGAATGCTGAATGGAGATAATAGAGGAGGAAGTGAGCAGGCAGGATAGAAGAGCAACAACTTTGGCAGTCGGAGCTGCTGTTTTCCTTAGGGATTTCCCCAAGCAAGGCAGAGGCCTTCACAGCCACCCCAGGGCACCTCCCTCTCTTGGCCTCACCCCTGTTTCTAGCCACAGCTTTCCCACTGTTTAGTGGATCTGACGTCATGCTCTGACAGCCCTGCCCAGCCCCTGAGCAGAGAGAGGGTTCTCACTGAGGGGTTAGCAGGATGGTCACCTCCCTTCCTGAATCCTTCCTACCACAGGTTACAACACTTGCCTTCTTGCCCTGTCAGGTGGAGCGCCAGTCAGCGGTGCTCATCCTGTTTTCAAGGGAATACATAAAACTTCCCTTCATGTTCTAAATTATTGGGCTGATTTGCTCTGTTCCTGGGTGTCACCTCCCTGGACCTAACCTTGACTGGGCCCTTAATTTAGCACTGCCTTGCTATCAGACACGCTAATGAAAAGGGCTGCCGCAGTATGACACAGTGTGTTTTATTACAGTTAATAATACACTGGAGTGGGAGTTCGCTGAAGAATTTTTAAAAATGTCTCCCTCATTAAAAGTCAAACTTTTGTTTCTTGTATTATTTCTTCCACTCTGAACCCCACTCAAAGTGAATGCAGATGAAGAGGACTTTCTTAATGTTTTTTTTTTAAATAAAATATTAGTGTGACTGCAAGATGGTAAGTGCCTGTACAGCTTCTCTTTATTTTATAGAATCATTGAACCACTTTATTCCTTAGTGTAACCCAAAGAAGATTGCCAAATGCTTCTCAACAGAGCTCCCCTTCGATGCCTCGGCTGAGATCTGCTCTTGTAGGAAGTCATCTCCACCACGCCCTGAGTTTTGCTGTCTTTGTGTTATGTTTCCTGTGTGTCCAAGAGATGGATTGTGAACAGAATCTTCCATTCTGCTTTCAGTTTTCGGAAGTAGCTATTGAGCTCAAGGCAAATCATGTATTTAAAAACACAGACACATTTAAGGCTTACCTGACAATTACTTCTCTCTTTTTGAAGACTTCGTCAGTTGCCTGATGCAATACCATTTACAGGGAAGAGAAGAGGAGACACTTTTACTGTACCCCCTGAATTGGCTGAGCTAGTTGGCTCTCTGCTCATTGGAATAGGCTACTGAGGTCAGTGCTACTTGATTTCTCACCGAGAGGAGAATTCCAAAGCTGGAAATAGCTTCTCTGGCTGGCTCCGCCCTGTCAGCCTAAATCATCCACCAGGGTTCACCGAGCGGACACATAATAGTGTCCCCCCAACCCCCACCTCTGGAAAAATACCCACAGTTTATGGCTTAATGACCACTGAGTCAGCAGCATCTCTTTCTTTGCCAAGAATAGCACATTGTTTTTTGTTTTGTTTTGTTTTTGTTTTTAATCAGGTAATACCTCCACGAGACAAGGAAATCACAGATTTTATAGTACATGATAGAAATTCATGGTGGCAGGGGCAAGATTATTTAAACAAAATGCAGAAAGTATGAGAGAGAGAGAGGAGAGAGAGAGAGAGAGAGAGCGAGCCAAGGACAAAGATTAATCATTTTCTGTTTACAAAATGGCTATGATTTGCAACTGTGGCAGTCTCCACCTTTCTCTTCTCCTCTAAGAGATCTACCAGGAGGATCCCTTGACCTCGCCACAAAAGCCTCCAAGTTGCCAAATTCTCTCTGAGACTGCACACTTGTCGGGTATACAAAGATTTCACTAATTCCTAAGTGTTTCCTGACCTTTTAAAAACGAGTTAAATCAAGGGAAGCTAGGGAAGTACTTTCCAAAGCCTATCAGACAACAAATGGAAAGAAAAAAAAGGCAAGACATGTAGTGTAAAGAGCCTTGGAATGATAAATAGGAAATGTCCAATATTTTCTTGGCTAAGCTACAAATTTCTCTTGTGCCTGCTAGAAATCACTCAGTTTTTTTGTGACTGTAAATTTTCCATGTGTTTGCAAGTCTTTCAAGAAATAAGCAATGCCCTTTATTGTAATTTTATTGTGTTAATTTTGCCAGGTTCTAATGCATTTTATTATTCTGTGAACTCATAATGGGATAAGGAGTACAGACTTTGATTCAGAATACATGTGATGTGAAAGCCTATATAGTCATTGTTTTCAATAGGAAGACTTTTGGCTTTAATACTGTGTTTATGTCCCTTGCATTTGTTCTAGTGTGAAATTCCTCACATATGTAATATTATTATTGATCTAGGCACCAATCTCCATTTTTTAACTGTCTATTCATCTTCATACTGCTCTCATACTACAAAAAAAATTGGCTATGTTATGAACCTTAATTTATTACGTTCAGTTCCACTTTGCCTGACATGGTGTGAGGCACAGGGCAAACTATTAGACCTTTCTCTCCTTTTGTCTTTTGCTCTAAGAACTCAGTCTTCAGTGACTGCTCATTGCATAGCATATTCCAAACTCCTTGGGCCTTCACAATCTGGTGCCATCTGTTTTTGCAGGCTCCCTGTCTTTTCATATCCATTTCTTTTCTCCCTATGTTCTTCACAC